CCTGAATCCTAAATCCGAATTACATATAGGGCCCCTAAAAACCGCAATAGGGGAGGTATTAACTTGCCCAAAGCGCCACCTAGTCTTTAAAAATGAAACACGCTTTGACTTAACCCGATCTTGTGCATGGTCCTTTAGTCTTACTTTACTTGCTTATGACCTCCAAGAAGGTGCGTAGTGATGAGAGTCGGCTCTCTGCCCATATCCCAGACACTCCCTAAGCCCTACACCCTAAATTCCAAACCGCTTGGGAGACCTACGCACGAGTACCTGAGAAACACTACAGGGATGCTAGGAGGTTTAGATGATCATCCTGCTACGTAGCTGGAAGGCTCCACTTCCCTAGACTTGGGCCTTACTTGGAGGGTCTTATCGGGACTTAGTAAGTAGGTTAGTAAAGGGTATAACTAAGGTCATTACAACATTACATGGGTTGTGGGGGGTATTAACCTACCCACTAAGTCCCCCCATAAGGCCCTCCAACTAGCCAATGCTAAGACCCCCAAAATGCAGACAGCCCTCTCTCCCGCCCTCTCTACAACCGTTTAGCAGTATACACTGCTCTCCAAAACTGTATGATGCTTTTTCAAGCGGTCTCCTTGAACCACGAGCCCTAATGCTGCCTTATCCTCGAACTCCAGCGCAACAGGCGTTGTCTGCTCCGCCAGCCATGATCTAGTGTAGACGACCAAGTGACTGAAATCAACCTCGGCTTGGGAGAACAAATGATAAACAATTCCAGTCCTTACCTCCTATCAGCGAGACTCCAACTGGAAATGCTCACGGTCCAAGCCTGAACTCCTTCCTGCGCCAAGAGCGATCTGAACAAAAGGACAACACCACTCTTCCTAGGATTCTACATTCCAAAGTACACGAAAACAGGAGAAGTTGGTTTGGATATTGCCCCAGCAGCAGTCAAACTACATGGCCCTTAGAACGAGTATAACGTCACTAACATTATGCCGGGGGGACACTGTTGCAAGAACTTGTCAACCCTTTACGTTTAGGGTTTGGGGGCTTGCTCTGCTTGCAAGAGTCCTTGGGTGTCTCCGGTGGCCACAGCACCTCTCGAAGACGAAAGCATGTAAGGTCATGGCTTAATGTCTGGAGGATGAGGCTTCGGAGCTCGTGGGATAAGAGTTCTGGGGGCGGCAGAACATGCTTCAAAGAGTCTTTTGATTCAGTGATTAGCGGTGAAAGTTCTGCAAAAGGCCACGGCTCGTTCATTCTTACACGCACGTGGAGTTCTTGGGCAAAGGCAGTCTGAATGGGTGTGGTAATGGACTGACAATTTAGCTGGTTTCATGGGGATTATATAGGAATGATGGACAAGAACATGGAAACAGGATTTATGGTTTTATGTTCCGGAACCCTAAACCCTGAACACTACACCCTAAACCCTACATCTTTACAATCCTAAACCTTAAACTTTAGGTTTGTTTTTTTGAATCCCATGCCTCTTTTGGTGCCCAGCATGCGCTCGGGGCTGAAGTTTAGGTTTCAGGGTTTGGCCCAACAGAGCCTGAGCCCCAAGCCCTGCACCGCCCAAACTCTGTCCAGCATACTTGGCGTGCCTTATGGGAGACTTAGCAAGGCCGGACAAGTAAATGGATCCTACTGTATCATTTAGGGTTTAGGGCTTGGGGTTTGGGGCATCAAGTAGGTTCGAGCCATTTTAAACCATATAGTAACCCTAGTTATCCCCCTTGCTACGCTACTTACTAAGGCCCCCATAAAGGTCCTCCAAGCAGGGTGAGGTATTTACGATTTCAGGGGTGAGCTTTCAGGATTTTCTGTTTCCGTTTCCACGAGAAGTCAGGCCTGTTTGGCTTAACCCGGCCCTAAACCCTACTTAGTCCTGCATTATCCACGCTGTCCGGACCGCCTACGACAGAGGTATGCTCCATCCTTGTCACTTCCACGCTATATCACCAAAATAACCGGGGGTCTGTGACATGGGAACCCATCCTATTTAGAAAGAAACAAATGAGTAGAATCTAGGTTTTAAAATAAAACATGGTCGCCAACCCTTTGTACACTCGCCCAAGCAGAAAACACGGAATCCTCGTGAACTACTCATGCTTAGTTGAGAACGGGGGGAGTCACAGAGTAGCCCCAGCTCCCTCATGATAATCCCAACAACCTATATGCTCCCATGCAACACACCCAGCTAATCCCAGAACCCCTGTATACTGTAGGGGCCACAATGATTACCAACAGCACTTTGAGATCTACTGACCATACTACAGTTATACAAAGAACAACCATAGAATTGATCGTCCTTTGGCGCTCTATAGTACGCTACAGCCACTCAGATCTCATCCCCTCCTCCTGAGAACTACGCCCTCCACCCCCCACCTTCCCAACATCCCGAACATGAACCAGTCCCCTAACATGCAGCGGCACTATATTGAGGGTGTTCGATATCGAGAGTCTTTTTGTGTAAGGGGGGAGTTGATTACTTAGAGAGTCAGGGGGACTAAATAGGCTGATAACCCCGATAACGCATATAACAACGCTAGTTATCCCCTCACTAACCTACTTACTAAGTCCCATGACCTTGAACCCTAAATAATATATACTAGCAAAGTACTAGCCGTAGGATAGAGCCCCCAGCCTCCGTGGTGCCCACGGGAATGCTGCCTCCGGGATGCTTCAAGCGGTTTTTGCCAATGGCACTCTCGGCCAGATATAGCCTGCACCAAGAAGTTAAGAGCTTGGGGTTTTAGGGATTTTTGGGGTGGGCTCAGGGCTATTGGGGTTTTCAGGTTTAGGGTGTAGGCCTCGAAGTCAATTTGCTGGCGCTTGGGGCAGAGTGGCGTGGTTGGATCCCTACATAACCAACCCTTCATACTTTGCCCTATAATCACTTCCCCACACTGCTTAGGCACAGTAAGGCCAGAGAAAGTGCAATGCGCATTGGTTAAAGCTGTAATCCTAGTCTTATATAATAGAAATAGTATTTTAAATATGTCCTAGGGGTTGTCCTTTCTTTGATAAACGCCAGAACGAATTCCTAAGAAAAATAGGAGGAAGGTCTTCTGTCTCAACAAGAACCACTTGAAGATCAACTTGCAGTCCTCTCATGCAGCCCCTACACCCTCGACGCTAAACAACCCAATCCTTTTTCCTACAATCAAAGTTCGAACCTAATCCCTTAACCACAATGCTCCATCGGGCCGACAAGAGGCATGAATCGCATTGAATATTATTGGAGCTGGCTGGAATGACACTAGCCTCTAGGGCTTCAAGGGCTCTTGATTCCCTAAACCCAAACACGCGAAGGGATGGTAGTAAGGCCTAAGACTTGAGGCTGCATGGCCTCCCATTTCACACCGCCACGAAGACAACTAGAGTCTGAAGACAACTTGTTGGCGCCTAAGGGGGAGTGGGGGAGTGAATCTTCGGACTATATTGTAGGGATTGCTGTGGCCGCCCTAGGTAAGGCCAAGCAGCTCATAGAAGAGAACCTGGCTGTGGCTTGGCGGTGGCTGCCAGTTGATGTAGCCGCCTAACTCATCCCAATCGAGATCCTTCCAGGCCGGCAGTAGGGTTGTATTGGGATAATGGAAAATAGAATGGAGACTGCTATAATATATAGGGTAATATAGGGGTTATATAGGGGATATATCGGGATAATGGAAAAGAAAATGGAAACAACTATAGTCTATAGTATATTGGGGTTATATTGGGGGGTTATATAGGTGTGGGGTATACCAGCTGGCATTTAGAACCGGGGCCGTGGAGACTTGGGGCTTTGGTTCTGGGGCTGAGGGCTCATTGCTTTGGATTGTTTTCTTGCTCGGAGAGATGGCTGCGAGGAGGTCGCCCCCGCATTGCCTTTCTTTCAGCAGTCAGAGCATTTCTCAACAGGTGGAAGTTTCCTCAGAAAAGCAGCTGCCACACCAGTCCTTGTCGATGAAACCAATATTGGAGACACTGGACACGGTGTCGATAATCTCCACCTTTCAGGAAGCCATTGCACCCACCTCCGTTCCTGGAGAAACATTACTTGATTTTGGAGGCTTTTCCATGTTGAGTCCACAAAACAGCTTTTGCGGCCCTGAATTCTTAGCAACGACCCCTCCTCCAAAATCCTTTGCGGTCCCCATTCCTTGCCTCAACAATTCAAAGTAGCAGCGCCTTCAAGAATTCAAGGGATATGCATGGGGATCTAAGTGGACTATAGAGGTCTCTCTTCAGGATTCAAGTGGGCTTGTATAGAAATCCCATCTTCAAATAACCTTCAACCTGATTGTTTTTGTTCTACTCCTTATCGTTTTACAGTGTTTGGTGGGTTCCTTAAACCTCATTTTTTTAAAACACTCCTTTTCGTTTTACGGGTCAAACGCTATCTCGAGACACTCATGACATAACGTAGAGAAGCCGGGTCATCATACAACCCCAAACGGGGTTATGCTCATAAACTCCCATGTGGTAATCCTTCATCAACATACCTCCGCCTAGGCGTTGAGACTCCGTTTCCGCAAGGATCTGAACCCTTTCCGGAAAGTCTCATGTAGGGCTTTGGGTCAACCCGTAACCCTTGCCGCTGCCGGGCGGTCCTAGATACTAAGTCGGACCTTATGATGATGTACCAGAGAAAGAAAAATAAATAGAATACTAAGAAAACACATAAATAAATATGTATATATACAGTATGAGCGACATAGAAGCCTGCTCAGCATCCACGGGGCCCACCCTGTAGTCCCCGAACCCGAAGCTCAAACCTTGAACCCAAACCTGGCTGGTGTCTAAGAAGCCCTGGCCCCTCGCCCATCTGAGGCTGCAGCAAATCGAGGTGTCGTCTGCTCTGCCAGGCTCGAACGTGCGAAAACCGTAAGGAACCTTCCCACTTGAGGCTACCATGTGAGGTAACATTTGTATGGTCACCGGTGCCTTTTAGCGGGGCAGTCTACAGAAGTTGATGTCTGTACCGGCCGCCCACAAAGGACACCCCCCCATCTGTAACCAAACCTGCCTCGTACAATCAGGAAAGGTCAAAAACATGTGGGCTTTGGTTCAAGCCAGTGCGCTATGTTGACATCGATTTCAGGCTTGAGATCCTCAACCCACAGTCTTTGCCTCGCTGGAAACCTCATGTAAAAATCCAGAGACTTGGAATCGACAAGTTTCGGCCCCAAATCCAAGGTTCTAAGCCCTCGAATCAAAACCTGAAAGCTCGTAACCCCACGCTGCCCTGGACTTCTAAATGCTTGAAGCTGGAGAAGCTTGAAAGATTCCAAGCCGATATCTGCGGGCACCAGGAACTCGTGCGTCCCAACCTGTTCCAGAAGCCAAGATGGCAGGCTTCTGCTAACCAGTTGAGAACTCCAAAATGGCGGAGTACAAATAAGGCATTGGGGTGGATGGCAGTTTAGTAGTAGGCTTCTGCACTGATGGCGCGCTGATCCGAATGGTGCTGTATGGCATATGCTTGCTTGCTGCAATCAGGAAACAGTGACGTTTCCCAAGAGGCTGCGGTTCGAGCCGGCTTCATTTTCAGCCAAGTACACGATGTAGTGGGTGACCTCAGAGCAGTTTCGGTTTTGGGGAAGGATTGGGGTTGAGGGGGCTTAACGGACCTCAATTTAGTAGTGCACATGGCTGGGTCGTAAACTTCATGCAATCTGGGCCACTTCGCTGAAATCTTCCGGAGCTCTCCACTGCAGCCAGCCGCCTGCCCGAAGTCGCAAGAAAAATCAAATACGTAAAGAGCTTCAGGCCAGTGAGTTTAGAGCCTCGTGGTTTGAGAGTTCAGCATTTCTGCGCGCAACAGTTGTCCGGCACCTGGTTGCATCTTAGTGCAGCGTAGCTGCATGACCTTGTGACGGCTTCTGCATGCCTGAAGAGATGGGTTCAACCACTTTATTCAAAAGCGTGATGCTGGCGCTACCCGGAGAGCACTGCCATGCGATGCCTATCTCGAGCTCGTCCAGGTCATCATCGATGAAGCTCACGTTGCGGGCATAGGAAACTTCGTCCTGCGGCACATGCACAGAATAAGTTCACATCGGAGTCAACAGTCTTTCACGGATGATTTCCTGAAGATGAGGATTGATTTGGTATCATCGGTACTTTGTTCCCATCACCTCGGTGTTATGCGAATACTTCTTGGCCTTCTTGGATCCCCACAAGCTGTGATAGGAGCCAGAAGTGCCCGCAGGTGGAACCTTCTGCGGTAACGTAGAATGCATCCCGGAATTCACTTCCCTTGCCTCCTCCTTTACGTGGTTCACCATTGGCATCCCATAAGGTTGCTGCACCTCCACTCGAAGATTCTCTTTGCTATCCCTACACTTCAACGCAAGGCTCTGATTTTCAGAAACAAATACCCTGACGTTACCCTGCTGTCAACTTATGGTGCAGAGGCCTCGAGTTGAGGACCCCAGAACGTGCCGTGCTCGGTCCAAACACCAACTCTGCATGTCCGCTTTGCATAGTCTGATCCAACAAGCACCCAGAAGGTAAAGTAAGGCCAAGAATTTACAAAGTTTTCAGTCAGCTGGCAAGTTACTGCATATTTTCCTTGGGCTGAGAAGCATGAGAATTAGGAGTATGAATGCACACAGTCGCCAAGCGTTTTGGACTTGTTTTGCTTGCGCCCCGGTCCTCTATTGCGAGGTATACAGGCGTGGTCTGTTCCACAAGGCTGGACCTGCAAGGCAAGCAGGCAGAGATTCCGAACGACTCGTGACTGTTGAGGGTCTGGGCTTCAGAGTGTAGAGTCGAGTTCAGGGTTTGGCCTTCAAGAACGGTCCGGGGCCGGAATATGTAGGATTTGCAATGCATAGCCTTGTTGTTCAGGGTGGGTCGCGCGTGGCCAGGGGCTGAGGCCCTGGCGAGTGCTTCTTGGCTGCGTTGACTTTGCAAGCGGCTCTGCTTTTCACTGAGCGATTTGTAAAATGATCTCACAACCAGCGTGGGCGGCCTCACGAACTGCCCAGATCAAACAAGCCTTCAAGCTCTGTGATGAATGCGACTCTGTCTCTGACAAATGCGCTTGCCTCGTGCACGCATGAGTATCGGTACCGTGCTGATGCCCAGGATGTATCTCTGCAACCCTAAAACTGGCAAGGACTGCTGCAAAGAAGAGTCCCGGGAGGTGAGCCTCATCCTTACCCCCAGAAAAGGGCCCTGGATCCTAAACCCTAAAGGCCCTAAACCCTCAACCCAGAGAAGCATCCCAGGCGCCTTGTGTAGACCTCAGGATGCAACAAGCAGAGGTTCAGGGTCGAGGGTTGCTTGGGGAATTTTAGGGCTCAGGGTCCAGTCCCAAGCTGTCGCACTGCCGAAACCTTTTGATGAAGACTGCTAGGACAAAGGGCTCACCCAACGAGATGTCAATTAGTCTTGCTCCGGCTTGACATATACTTTTTCAATAGACAGCTCCTCCATGCTAACTAACTAGACCCTGTAAGCGCTCATGTGCCCTCGTACCCAACCCGAGGAGCCATAATACTGCACTCATATATATATATATAGTACCAGCCTGCGGTTCCATTCACATAGTTTTGGGTTGCATGCATGGCTGTGTTTTCCTTGGCAGCTTGTGCAGTGGTATGCAACTCCAGACCTGTTTTCTGAGCCCTTTTGTGCTTCTATATATATATATATTGATTATCTCCAAGCCCTTCGGCCTCGAATTGTGTGGCGACGCCTGAAATGCTTGCTCCTGCTCCAGAACATAATCCGATGAAGAAGACTGATCCATGGCTGTAAGTCTCTCCGAGGCACTGTGAAGAAGTCAAAGGACCCACGCGGCTGTTCCTCAGCGTCGAGCTGCAAGGTCCATCTCCCGACATGAGAATGGTTGAGTTGTTGTCTGGCCTAAAGGCCTAAAGGGCCAAGGTCTCGGACCCAACGCTGCCCTGCTTGTAGAAAAAACATGTTCAAGGTGACCCCCTGGAGGTGTGTCTTTTTTCCAATCTTTCACGCGTAGAATACGAAGAATATGGAATGAAACATCAAAATGTTATGGCCTTCCCCTGCTTGATAAAGGTTTGGCCTCACACGTTAAGAAATAACGGGATTTTAGTCACTCCAACCTTTGAAATTTGAACGTTATGACTGTTATAATACTCTTACGGAGTCATCAAGTGTGTTTATGCGCAGCTCCAACTCATAAACAACATGCACAGCTGCCATCAGCTGAAGTGGCTTTCTTGAAGCTTCGCTTTGCCGGGTCCATACGTCAGGGATTCCAGGTGACTCCGGGTATGTACACATCTCAGAAGGCACAATTCATTCAGCACAGCTCCACCCTCAACCCTGAACTCTCACGTGCGTTGTTGAGAGCAGTGGTCGAGCCCTGAGCCGGCTTAATGCAAAAGAGGCGGCCCGCGCTACAATTAAAGGCAGGCCCGACGATGCAGCCTAGATGCAAAGCCCCTTAACTCAGGAAACTCCGGTCACAAGTGTTGTAGAATCCTTGAAAAGCGTACCTGTAATCCCTGTATAACCTCTAGCCCTAGTTATTGCATCAAATGGTGCCGCTACTTTGGGAAACTCTTTCGAGGCATCTCGACCCATGTTGGGATCAGAGCCCAGTGACCAGAAGCACAGCTAAGGGAATACTCTTCTACCCCCTACGACGGAGGGGGTTATCCTACTCGAATCAGGGGTGTGCATGGCAAATCATGGTTGCCTCCCCTCTCCCTGAAAACAGTGATGCACTTTTTGGGACCCTTATGCAGAATACCGGGAAACAAATTAAAGGAGCTTTGCTGCTGTCGAAGGCAAGTGGCCGGGAACAGAGCTGTGTCGTAGGTGCCTGCTGGAACTTCGCCACCAACCTTGACAGGACGTTCGAATAACATCAAATCTACGGCCATTGATCGGCCCCAAGGCCTCCAAATCAACAACCAAGAAAAAGTTCTGCTGATGAGGGGTAGATGGAATTTAACTGGAACAGCAAAGGGAGATGAAATGGAAATTCCCAAATCTACTGTGATAAATATATATATATATGTATATTCATATCAAGTCCACAGGCACGCCCATGTTTTTCCGCCTTTATACTTCCTTAAAAGCCGAAACTGCTGGAGTGCTGTTAAGGAACTCAAATTACACTACCAGAACAGGGATGTAAAGTAAATTATACAGGCAGGGCTTCCTAACTTTAGCATCGCCATTTGAGTTCCGTAACAGCAACCCAGACTAGGGACCTTCAAGGTCTGAATGACAAAGTCAGTACCCGCCTGCGACCTGCCGGTGCCATCCGACAAGACGGACAGGTAGACCATGTAGCCTTGCAGTGTACTTCAACTACTGCTGATGCTACTCCCCCTGCTTCTTCTGCTGCTGCTGCTAACTACCTGGTAGAGGTTGGAGAGTAGGCCTGAACGGGGCTAGACTTCTGAGCAAAGGGTTGCTTGATGGCTTGACGATGTTCCTCCTAGAATCAACAGCAGCAGCAGTAGGGTGATGAGGGGAACCAGGAGGTGGTCTGGCAGACGCACCACAATCATAATAAACGTATAACAATAGTAATGCTGGTAATAGTATAACTACTAGAACAATGTAATAAGGATAGGCATCAAGGTCAAACTTATCCAAAGCACAAAAGGGAAACACTACGCGCATTGATTACCGGCACCTCCTGAAGCAGGGTGTGTGATGGAAGCTGTGATGATGTTAGATTGTCTGAGGAAGAAGCCGTGCTTTCCTGCATCATGATTTCCAGGGGCAAGTTTCTGCAGAAACCAAAGTCGGGAGCTATCTCCCAACCAACTCCCGACCAATTTAGCTGTTGACCTCGACTTCTTAAAATCCCAAACCTGAACTCCTAGACCCTGCTGCCCTCACCTTGCACTCGCTCCATGAGGTTTGGCTCCGCCCAAGCAATCTGTCCGCCGAGCTCCAGGGAGTCAAGGTCCTGAGAGAATCGAAAGGATCATCATTCTGGCAGCAGCTTTTGTGAACGACCATGCGCGGCTTGGTACAACTTATGCATTGATATGTTGCCAGCTGTATCCGTATTTCAATATGGACAGGAGGCATTAAGGGCATAGAGGGTCATGTGCAGATTTGATTGCTCGGGTTTTTAATGGACTGCCGCTAGGGTCTGCACTTCCAGCTTCAAAAGCACAACATGCTCCCCAAGAAAGTCTTCAGAGCCTTTATAATAATCGGCCCACTGCAAACTTGTGAGTCCTAAACCTTGATGATACCCGTCCTTCCCTTGGTAAGTGATGTTGCTAACGCTGGCATCCATGTCGTAGATGAGGTGTATTTCCTCAGTGCAATGCACGATCAGTTGTGAGGGGTTGCAGAGGGGACCCTCGAACCGCATCTTTGAAAACTGTCCTGGACATTTGGCTGAAGGGTCTGGATACTCAGCAAAGCAAAAACCTGAGCTTCACGAACATGGCTTTCACCTGCGAGACCAACACAAGGTCTCTACCTGAATGATCATCCAAAAGCGTGCTACTATAGTCTACTCTGGCCCGAACACACCCCCAACACTGCAATACGGCTTGAGGTGGGAAAGCCCTAAAACCCTAAACTGCACATGGCTCAGGGTTTGCAGATGCTCAAGCATGGCAGATTGCATGGGATGGAGGAGCTGGGCTTGCAAGCTTGATGACCGGGGCAGAGCAACTGGGGGCTCGACCTGTAGCACAAGGTTGTTTCATCATTCGAACTCTGATGTAAATCAAAAGTACCCATTACTAATAGAATCACGAAAGCAATGATGGAACACAGAGACCGTAACAAACAGCCATTGCTCTTCGGGGCTGCGTACATACAAAAAAAGTCTCAGTCCAAACGAGAGACCACAAGAAACTCAGGCCCCAACTCCAGAAACCTTTAGAACCCTACATCATGGACATCATTGCCGAACCCAAGCCCAACGACACCTTTCATCTGTACTCTCCCTAGACCTGTAACACTAATGTTATTGATAATTTCTTAGGGTTATATTATCCTAAACCCTAATGTTCAAAAACAATTCCTGAGTAGACTACAGCTATGTAATCTCCAAATTCTGCACATCCCAACCCTAAACCAGAAGTAGTTTCCGGCGTGGTCTGCTCCGCCAAAGGTGACGAGCTGTACACGAGGAAGTGAGTGTACCTGGTCACACAGCTGAGCAGGGATGATCTCGAGGTATTGTAGCGATGGCAGGTATGAGGGCCTGAGCAACTATGAGTGTAGTCCTCCAGTAGCTTGAATATGGGACATGTATGAAATACTTCTGGGCTGTTGGTAGAATTTGGGAGATACAGCGAACATCTTCTGGACTTCACAATTTGGGGATGCAGCCTGCGAAGATTTCGTGCAGAACTCGGGGCTTATCATGTAGGCTTCAGGGCGTAGCGCGGAGTCTGAGGTTTTGCTCGACGGTTGGCAGCCTGCGGCTCATTGCTTTGGGTTTGGGACTATAGTCTACATCATTTGTATGTTGGTTTGAGAGATCTGCGGTCTGTTCCGAAGCATCTTATGAAGATTTTAAGTAAGGAAACCCTCCCTGCAACCTTTCCAAATCCATGCGAACACACATTCGTAGTGAAAGGTGAGACATGCCTCTGCAAGGCTGTGTCTGGCTGTATAGTCAGGTTGTAGGTGCCGTTGGACGCGTTGCCAACGTAGGTCCTCCAAAAGCATTTGCTGTTTACAAGTGATTTAGGGTCTAGCAGGGCGGCCCTTCGTGTCTACTTAACTGGATTATTCTGTTCTGTGCAAATATCACTAAGGCTAAGAGCAGGAGACAGAGTGCAGCCACAGCCGTGAAGGACAACGAAGACACCGCCAGCCAGGCATCGCATGGAAAACAAGTACACTGAACCCTACAGCCCGTACAAGACCGAAACGAAATTCGCCTCGATGCCAGAGACATGCCCACTTTTAGAACCCTCACACATTTCCACTGAACTTCCAACAATGCCGAGGGCTTGAAGACTCGTAAGCGTATTAGCTGGTCGGCAGAATTTCGAGTAATCCTGATGAAGGAGCTGTACAGCTATGCTCACAGAGCAGCTATTGGCCCAGCTTAGGGTTCGGAGCCTTTTCACTTTGTGCACTCCCGAAGCAAATTCTGCTTGAGGTAGGGTGTGTTGACATTTAGGACCCCTTTTCGGATACTTACCTGATTAAAATCATCATGCAAACGCTGTTCCATGTTTCCGCCGGACAGCCTCCATGTTCAGGCCGCGACCTAGACCCAAAGCCCTAAGCACAAAAATCCTAAACCTTAAACTCCCAATCCTGAAGACTAAACCCCAACCCCAGAATTTCAAACCCCAAAGCTCCACGAAAGAGGCCCCACACTTCACGTGTTCAACCCTGAACCCCTAAAGCCTAGACGCGAAACCCTTAAAACCCTAAACCCTAAGCCCCTGAAGCCCAAACCCTAAACCCCTTGTCCTGTAGCACATGACCAGGCCAGAGAAGTTGACCATGCCCACAGCAGCCGTTGGGTCGAACCTGGGGGCAGATTTTGGGTTTAGGGTTTAGAGGCTTCATTGATCACCGTAGACCCATAACAAACAATATCTTTTTGGCAGTTCCTAGGGGTTCTACTACAAGAATAATTCCTAGAAGGAGAAGAGGTTTCTCTTGCGTGGAAGTTTAGGAAGCCTCTGAAGCATGTTCTAGGGATGGATGGAGTTTTTTTCTAATTTAGGCTTTCATAGGGCGCTCGGTGAAGCCTGGTTTGGAAGCAACTTCTAAGCAGGTTCGCTCTCTTTACTGGAGCCGCGTCTTTGTGTTCATGACATGCTGCAGGGCTTCCGCACATGGGGACTAGGGTGACGAACTCCGAAGGAGATTCTGAAAAGATGCTGGATGTCGCTGCGCGAGTTCTTAAAATCTAGAGGAATTTCGGATTTGGGCGCTGCCGAGGGTTTAGAGTCTCGTGTGCAGGGACCCTTCGGGCTAAATCACAGGCATGATAGCGGCGTGTGGGTGAACAGGATCAAAACAGCATCATCCATGGACGCTCTCCCTGGCTGTTCTCAAGCGCTCCTGATTTAGAAGCCTGACGAGTCCCAGAATTGCTTCATGCAACTCCATGTCTGGCCTATGTACAAATGCTGAGTCTAGCTTAGGTGGACTCCCCAAAATCCATTTCTTTGGGACCTGCGCTGCGTTGCTTTGGAGGGATATCGGAGTGGCCGGAAGCTGGGGATGTGGAGTCCTTCGGGTAAGGATTATAGTTGTAACATTCTATGGTCTAATAGTTGAGGTCCACCGATTTCATGAAGGTCGTCGTGCTGTACAAGTGAAAGGGCGCACTGCTTCGAACCAACTGAAGAACGCTCCGGGCTTGAAACGCTTCATGTCGGACTGTAAGACTTACGGTTCATCCTCAAGTGTGAGACTCCTCGCAGAAGCTTGAGAAATCCAGAAACATGGATGACTTCGAAAGTCAATCAGGATTGGATTGGCCAAGCTGCACAGGTGCGGAGGATAGCCTCCTCATGGCACCACTTTGGTTCCACCAGCTGAGGTTTCCATCCTGAAGATGCTTACTAGAAGATGTGAGGTACCAAATCCAAGATCCCTGCGATGGATCGCTACGCTAGATTCAAGATCAAAATGTTTCGGGAGGCGGCACATGCCACAAACACGCTCGTGAACAAGGAAACAAACACCTGCTTATCGGTCGAACCCAAACTATGGCCACAACACTACAGTGGAGCTTAAGTGTTTCCAGGAGCACAGCATAATTTTGGCGCTGGACGGCTTTGGGTTTGGGGTTTGGCAGCTTCCTTCATAGTATGCCCCAAGTATGGATGCTGCATGGTCCCTGCGCACTTACTTACATGCTGTTGGTACTGAAGCGCACGCAGTCTACAAGCTGTTCAGCAGTGACTCCTAGAGAACCTGGAGCATCCTGAGGCCTCCATGAAGAGCAAATGCAAGACCTGAATGCGATCATACGAAGGATAGCGAAACTACTTGACTTACCTCATGCCTGCTGACAGTAATGTTTACCACAATAGGTAACAAGAGTTGTCTTAGGCCCTTGTAAGATGCCTTAACAAGATCCTTTACTTGACAATCAAGCAGGAGAACCCCCAACACACACACACACACACACACAATCGCATGGCTCCTGAAGTCCCAAGAGGCTCCAACGTTCTTTATTACTACTATACTTGCTACTGCTGTTAGTTTTATTCCTATTATCTATATTGCTGCTATTGTCTTTGCTTAATGCTACTTTTTGAAATGTTACTATTTACTACAGTGCCTGAAAGATCAAAGTCAAAGGCGGCGAAGTTGCGGAATCCTCGAAGTCAGGGTCGCTCACGTCGTACATCGTCGTCGATGCCGTGCTGGATGTCATTGACTCCTGTACAGCTTTGTGCGCAGGTCCACGGCCGGATACAGAACTGCAATGATAACCTTATCTTGGGCTATATTATGTACCTATGAACCTCCAAGCGAAGTTTATCGTCTAAGGGATCCACGAACACACACGTGTTTGGAGTGTTTTGGAGGTCTTGGCTTTGGGGGCTGAGGTCGTTTGCTGGGAGACACTAAACGCTTTCATGAACGCCTGACTACATCCCTGCTTGTAAGTCATTACGCAAGTTCCTGAAAGCTCCCAGGCCCTCCAATCAACAGAGTTGTTCCTGCAGGTTTGCAAAATACACTCACAGATTCATGTCGTCTAAGAACTTGTGCTTCGCATGGGGGGGGTTTCGTGGCTTTGTCGTTTGCATGTGTGGTGTTGTCCTGATATAGGTCTCACAGCTGAAGCCACCAGGTCCAGGCCTTTCCTTGCCTTGCCCTGCTGTGGGCAGAAAAGACGATAAACACCTTCTACCTACCGAGATGCCCTTAAAAAAGTGGTTCCCCAGTCTCTCTCTTCACCCCCGAAAAGTCCGTCAGAGTTGTTCCGTTGGGGACGTCGCTGTCGTCGCTATCGCCTTGGTTTGTCGGGTCAGGTGCAGCTTCTTCTCCAACCCCGAAACAATTCAAGGTGTTTCGTCCACATGCCGCTGTATTGAAGGAGCAGGCCAGGAAACACCACCACACCCTGATTCCTGACGCTGTAACCTCTCCAGAGCGCAGGTACACCAACGATGAACACAACAATACCCAACACAACTCTTTGTTGCGGAATACTGGCTTTCCCAACTGGATCCGAAGGCTAGGTGATCCTGGAAAAGTCCTAGATACTTTTATTTCTGAACCCTCGACCCACGCTTGCAAGCCATGCTCCCCTAAACCCTAAGCCATTAACCCAAAACCTGTGAATCC